CTTCTCCTTCCCTTCGCCTCCTCCCTCCTTTCTTTCCCCCCCTCCTCCTCCTCATCCCCGGCCCCGGCGTTGCCTCCGTTGTGCGGCGGCCGCGAGCATCCGTCGCGCAAAGTAATTTACGGGGGAAAAGCTCTCAGGACCCATCGGTTACGTGTGAGGGAGCCAGCACAAGAGTCGCAATCTGGAGCCACTGAAGAGAGCGAAAACCCTGCCGTGACTCCAAGCTGTGTCCCCGAGCTGGCGTTGGAGGAGGGGGGGGGGACACCCGACCCGCTCGGCCGTCGGGGGGGTGGACCGATGGGACCGTTGCCCCCAGGGATGGCCATGGGTTGCTCCTGGCATCCCTCCCCCCCCCCCGGATAAACCAGGTGATGAGCCAGGGCTGTGGGTTCAGTGCCCACGTCAGCCCCGGCCCAGGGTCACTAAATGCCACCACAAAGTGCTTCGAGATCCACAGATGGGGAATTCTCAGCCCAGCCCCAGAGCTGCTCCCTGCTGCTGCCTCCAAAGACACGCAGGAGCTGGCTCCAGATTCACCAACTAAAAAAGTCCCTGCCACCGTGGCTCTCCTGCCCATCACTGCGGCATCCGATCGCCCGTGTCCAGCCTGAGGCTGCCACCAGGACACCCAACTCCATCTGACTCTCTTTCTCAGCTATAAAACATACCCTTGGTCTTAACAAGCTGGAGACTTTGAGATGTTCTTCGCCTCCAAAGGTCCGGACCCACCACAGTTGAGCCACCACTACACATGCCACCCCCATGTCCCCACATGGGATCCACTTGACCTTCCCCAGTTGGGTGCCCACCGAGGGCAGACAGGGCACAACCACTGAATTCATCACTTTTTTTCCCATTCCAGACTGGGGCACAAAGCACATTGTGAAACACCATCCAAACCCCCCCAGGTTCATCCCCATCCTTGGGGTGCAAAAGCACATCGCAAAAACAAAGTGCAGCCCCCCAAATTTGTCACTGTTCCCACGCCAGATCGGGGTGTAAAGGATGCTGGAAAACTCCACCAATAAAGTGCAATCCCCCAAGTTCATCGCTGTTCCCACAACAGATTGAAGGGCAAAGGATGTTGAAAAACACCATCAATAAAACTCAACCCCTCCAAGTTCATCGCTGTTCCTGTGACAGATTGGGGTACAGAGGGTCTTGAAAAACTCCACCAACAAAGCACAGCCCCCCCAAATTCATCGCCGGATCGGGGTGCAAAGTCCATTGCAAAACATCACCCATAAAACTCAACCTCCCCAGCCCATTGCTGGCCACCACGGTCCGGCAGGGACCAGCTGGGAGCCAGGACAGAGCCCTGGGGGGACAAGGAGGGTAGGAGAGGGTCACGGGCACCGGTGGCTCTGCTTTCGCCCCCGCGGACCCGTTTCATGCCAAGAATTTAATTTATTCACCTGCGTTGCTGCTTTGCCGAAGGGAGCCCTGGTCACACCCGGCTGAGCAACTCAATTACCCCTGTAATACCCGAGCAACAGCACGTACAGACTCCATTACCGTGGAAAAAAATATATATAAAAAATAAAAGAATCTTGCTTTGGGGCATTTAAAATGCCACGTGTGAAGGTGGGGCAGTCAGGGAGGGGGCATCCCGCTCCCCCCTCCAGTAAATTGCTCATTTAACTCCTCTTTGGACCTCGATTTTAACCAATTTCATCCACTTTTGACCTTGAAATGGAGGCCCACCCCCGTGATGACGAAGACTGGGGGGGCCACCAGCGATGCTCTTACCTTGCTCAGGATGTAGATGAGGTCCCCGCGGTGGAAGGAGAGCTCGTCGGGGTGCTCGCTGCTGCAGTCCCACATCCCTTGGTAGTAATTGGCATAATCGCCCCGGCGACCTCCTGGGGACAATTAAAAAAAAAAAAAAGGTGATGGGGAATTATATGGGGAAATATTGGGGTTGTGGGGTGGGATTTGTTGGGGAAAGGAAGGAATTGTTGGTGTTCTTAGGTTTTGCGTTTCAATCAAAAGGCAGAGGCCAAAGAGTTACTGCAAGAAAAAGGGGCTGGTCAATAAATAAATGCAATATTTATCAATAAACACACATAAACACATTGATAGAATCATAGAATCAGAGTTGTCTGGGTCGGAAGGGACCTTTAAGATCATCTAGTCCAACCATCAAGCTAACTCTGATAAAAAAAACATCACTAAAAGGTAAAGGTTTCAGTTTTGGAAGACCCTGAATTAAAGCTGTTTCCTACAAACCACAAAGGGAACCAAAGATGCTTTTCCCTCTCTCCCAAGTCCCTCATCTCCTCCTCAGGCTCAAACCAAACTGGCCCCAAGGTGGACATCCATAACCCAGTCAAGAGGGGACACGTGGCACCGGTGCCAGCTCTGCTGGGCAGTGACCCCATCACGGTGGTCAGAGAAGGTCCCAAACCTTCTAGGTCACGATACAACCCCATAGCTCAGGTCTCCATCTTCCCATGGAGCTGTGATTTTGGGAAGGCAGAGCCTTTGCTTGATGCCTGTGACCAGCGTCTGCCATGGAAAAGGAAGGGAGCATAAACCAGCAAACTCTTTTTTTTTCCTTTTTTTTTTGAGACACAAAATGGTCTCTTTGCTGAAAGCCCTGGGTTTGGGCTGATGGGACTGTTGGCAAACCGTGCCAGGGCTGGGCACTGCCCTGGGCTAAATGTGTGCGTGGGTTTTCTGGAAAACATCGCAGCAACGTTTCCAGAATGAAACATTTCCATCTTGGCCAGCCCAGAACAGCATTTCCTGCCCCAGAAACTGGCCCAGACACCAGAGCCACCACGAAAGGTGGATCCCTGCTGCAGTGGTGGAAAAACATCCCACTGTGTGATGGGACCAGCCCAGTTGATGCCAAGGTTTTTCAGAGCCCCACGACCACAGGAGATGCTGCTCTGCCCAGTTTGCAGACTGGGGAAGCCACTTGTCCCAGGACATCCAACAGATCCTTCACAGCATCAAAGAAACCGCCCCAAAACCCCTCCAGGTTCCCAGTTTTCAAGCACAAAAAACGGTTAAAAACATGCTCCTGGACCAAAGGCTTCAGGCAGGAGACTGCTCCGATGGCACAGCACCAAGGCGGGGGTGAATCCAGATGTCAGGACACGGCCGTCTCCGTGATGTGACCCCCATGGATAATTAAACCCAGTAAAACCACATTCTGCAAGGGGGAGGTGTGGGATTCGAGCACCGGGGCCGCGCCAGCGCCGTGTGCTGCTCGGCCACGCGCTGAGCCCGGCCCAGAAAAGCATAAATAGAAAATAGCGAGCACATGTTGGAGGAAATGTTTCTAATATGGTATAAGGGACCGAGCGATAAGGGTGCATCTGGAGTGCTGTGCCCAGATTTGATCACCTAAATATGAAAAAGGACATTACAGAGATGGTTAATGGCACAGCAGGGAGCGACTGGAATGACTCAGGGACTTGGGGAACTTAAATAGAAAGGCTGGGAGGGAAAAAAAAAAAGAAAAAAAAAGTAGGTCTGCATCCTCTGCATCCTTTGGAAAGTATTAAAGGGGGAGCACACAGTGGCGAGGAAAAAGATTGTGAAGGGAATAGAAGGAGTAGGAGCTGCTGAGTTATTTAAGCCTGTGCTAAGTGCAGGAACCAGAGGTTATGAACTGGAGGCAGAGGAAATATCAGGGCGTGCGGGCGCCGAGCAGGAGGACGAGGCAAGTTGGCAGCTTTGGTGGGAGCCAGCAAATTGTGCAATTAAGATAAAAGGTTGTTACGGGAGGGTGGGAGGACAACATCACAGTGTGGAGAATAACCCGGTACCGGGAACGGTGCTCGGTACCGACCCGCTGGTGTCCCCTGTGAGACAAGGCTGGGGAAGAGCAGCTCCGGGGGCATCAAAAGTGTCAGTGATTCTATGGAGCACCATTATTAACTGGCTGAGATTTAACAGCAGTGACCCCCTCCATCAGCCTCTGCTCCTCTGCAGAGTTCTGCTCTGTGTCCCCAAAGCACTGGGGGGGGAAGGCTTGGATAGAAAATACATCTTCCTACAAGATGTTTCCAGAACCGAAAGTGCCCGTTTTCCCCCCAGAGCTCCCCCAGGGCGGGCACCCGGGCGCCTGCTCGCCCATAGGGAGGGTGCTGCTGGGAACCTGGACTCAGCCTTGTCCCCAAAAATGCTTGGAGATGCCTCCCTATCCCCACATCCTGCTTCTCAAAGGAACAAGTGGACCTCGGAGGCATCTGGCCACCCGCCAAGGAGCGGAGAAAGGAGAAGCTGTTGGTGGAACAGAGACTTCGCAGAAGCCACTTGCCTGAGCACTTGATACTCTGCGAGTCCAAAGGAAGAAAATTTCCCAGCCCACAGGAAAGTTTGTGTTCCCAAAAGCTTGTGTGGTTTTTTTTTTTTTTTCCAGCAATGTCAGCTGCTGGGATGGAAGGTCTCACCCCTCCCTCCAACCCTGCCTTCAGAAGGTCAGAATTAATTGCATCAGCTGAGGAAGGTGCGTCCCGATGAAAGCTCTGCGCTTCGCTCCCAGCCACAGCTTCAAAAGCAACAAAGATGTTTGTGCCAGATACTGAGAACATCCTGTGAGAATTAAGCCTGTTTGCAGACAAGGGATCCTGCTTTGTATTTTCGCACTTAGAGATAAGGCCAGGCCAGGGAGAGCTTCACTCCACAGCCTCCACGTGGGACAGTGAACCTCCGTGATCCCCCCGACCTGCTGGGACATGGGTCGGATCAGGACAAACCATCCCAGGACTCCTGTGTCCCCCTGCATGAATTCTGCTCACTTTTACCAAAAAAAAAGCTTTGAAATAAACCCCAATGCCCCGTCTAGACTTTTAAATCCACGTCCAGGCCAGAGCTGTGATTTCAGGGGACTGATTTACGCTGATGTAAGTGGGACAAGAGCCCCCTCCCGTCTTTAGGGGCCTTGGGGTCGTTAAGAAAAACCAGCCAAACGTGACAACTGCATCATTTTCTTCTGCAGCCCTCGCAGAGAGAGGGGGGGAGAGGCACCATCCGCCCCAACCCCTTGGCTCCGGGCTCCTTGCTCAAGAAGCCTGTTGATGCTGAAGCCTAATGACAACTGTCTGGGGCTCGGGGGGTCCTGGGGGCTGCGCCGACGTTGGGTGACACCTCCTGCCACGCCAAGCACGGGGGGGCTGTGACAAGGAGGCAGAGCTGCGAGACTGGTTTTATTTCCTAAGTCGAGGAATTTCGCTCCGTTCGTATGCAAGGGGTAAGCTCAGGCTGCTGCAGCCCCAAAATCCCCCCCCCCAGCACAGAAGGCAGGGGATTGGACAGCCTTGAGCGGAGCAAATGGGTGTCTTGGCAGGAGCAGGCTGCAGCTCTCAGCTGGATTTGCTGGGCTGCTCCGGCATCATGGCATCCTTGTGGCTCTTGGAAATTAGAAACGATAGTTTTCCATTAGCCAAATGCTCATCTGGCACTTGGGCCGCGTGATATAATTAAGAAATAGCCCCTTCCCTCCCTCCCTGCAGCCCAACCCTCTGCTCAAGGACTCCTGTCATCTCTTTCTCGCCCTTGGTCCAGTTGGACAGAGATTACCCAGGCAAAAGGCACGAGGGCCGGGCTTCCCGGCGCTGCCGTAACCTTTCCCTCTTGAAATGCAGCCCAGCTTTCCAGAGGGAAGAGCCTCATATATTATTTAGTGTAAAAAAAAAATAAAACCCAAACCAAAAAAAAAAACCACCAAACCCCAGACGCAGGACTTAAAGCAATGATGACAATGCTAATAACTAAACCAGTTATAACGATTAACAACAATTACAACCGGCGGGCAGACGCTAATGAGTACGAGCAGGGTGTTTAAATGGCTGGCAGGGCTGTGACAGGCGAGAGCCAAAATCCTTGGGGTGGCCTTGGGGCGCGGGTCCGTCGTCACCTCTGGCACCAGCTGCCACGGAGTCGGTCTCCGCTCCCCCCTGACCCCACCGGGGGCTGGAAAACCCACGGGGGAGCTGCTCTTCTGCCACCCCCGAACTTTGGAGACAGTTTGATGCTGGGGCAGCTGTGAAAGGCAAAGACAGACGTGTGTGTCTGCATCCATGTCCCCATCACCTTCTGCTCTCCTTACCCTGCGCCCAGGCGTCTCCACAGATAAGTGTCCAGCCCCGCTCCGGGACCACGGGAGGGTTTATAAAGATCAGAAACGTCATTTTTTCCAAGCTCAGGGTGTTGGTACTGGCCGCAGCTGCCACATGCTCCGGTGGCCAAATAAGTCATCGTGCCAGGGGGTGGGAAACAAGCTCCTCAAAACCACGAGGAGCAGAGAAACCCCGAGGTGCTCCCGTCTCTGCAAACAGCTGGGACTCAGCCCTGTCTGCACTACCAAGATCTCAGTAGAAACAGGTCTGAGTGCCCTCCTGGGCCGGGGACAACTGGCCAGGGAACATCTGAGGGGGCACAGAGGGAACTGTTGGATCAGGCTTCCCAGAAATGCCAGGAATCACAATCATAGAATCATTTAAGTTGGAAAAGACCTCTAAAATCAAGTCCAACCATAAACCTACCACTGCCAAGTCCACCACTAACCCATGTTGTACCACTGCCAAGTCCACCACTAACCCATGTCGCTCAGCACCACATCTACATGTCTTTTAAATACCTCCAGGGATGGTGACTCCACCGCTTCCCTGGGCAGCCTCTTCCAATGCTTGATAACTGTTTTGGTGAAGAAATTTTTCCTAATGTCCAATCTAACCCTCCCCTGGTGCAACTTGAGGCTGTTCCCTCTTGACCCATCACTTGTTACTTGGGAAAGTTGAGCATGGGGGCTCTCGGACCACTGGGAGGGATGAAATGGCTGAGCAATGCTTGGGGTGCTCACACCTTCAGGAGAGGACAAGCTGATTTAGACACCCACCACCCACAGCATCCAGCACCCAACCCCTCTGTTCTCCATCACGCATCAAGCAGGACCCTCGCTGTTGTTCTCCAGCCCCATCCCTGGGGTGGGACCATCCCCTCTGAGCTCTGGAGCGGGTGGATGGTGTGGGAAGTGTGGGAAGCTCTCCCGAGCCAGCCTTTGCCAGGAGGAGGTGTTTTTCCGTGCGGTGAGGAGGAGCGGGGTGGCAGGAAGCCCCCGGCCGGTCCAGCCCCGGCTGCTTGGACACAAGCGCCGCTTTCCTGCTCCGGGGAGGAAGCAGCCATGGAAAACCAAGCAGGTGGGACCGGGGAGGAAACAGATCTTCCGCTCCCGTCCCACGGTGCAGGTCCTTAAGGAAAAAGCAGGGGTGGGGGCCCTGGCCACCGTGGCAGGCTCTGGGGCTGCTGGCTCCGGGCGGGCGGCGCTGGTTCCTGGGGTGGTGGTGCGTGTCCTTCCGGCTTCCCGCCCCGAGATCCCTCCCTGCGGTGCCTTCCTCTGGGCCATGACTCGCTTCCTGCCCTCTCTCCAGGTTATTTCTGCCCCAGCTCCTCTCCCCGGCCCCTTGGGATACAGAGGGAGGGCTGGCTCCCTCTCCACGATCCAGGATGGGATGAGGGACAGGGACAGGAGTGCCTCCATGGGACATCCTTCAGCACACAGATCTCACCAGGCAGGAGAGGGGGGGGATGCTGGGGCTCCTCCACGGAGACCTCACTAAGGCCACCCCCCCATGGGGTGCCTTTCCAAAAAGGAGATGCATCTCCCATATGTGTAGTGTGGAGAAGATGGGGAGAGGTCCCCAAACCCAAGTTATCTGAATTCCACCAGCTGCAGCCTCCTCTAACACCCATCAGGATGCTCTCGGGACCTCTTCCATCCTCCACCACCCCTCCATCACCAACAGCACCCCAGGATGCTCAAAGGCAGCCGGACTCAGACTCTCCAACCATGACCTGGAGGTGCTTTGGGTTGGCCAAAGCGAAGTGGGCTCTTACCGCTTCTCTGTCTGCTCCCGGTGTCCTCGCTGTCCTCTGGGATGGGGGGCTCCAGCTCCTCATCTGGGGGGGGAAACAGAGCAGAGGAGTCAGGGGAAGGGCTGAGCGTTACTGCTGCACCAAACCCCCAGGCAGGCAGAGGGCTGCGAGAGCATCCGACTGTCAGAATAATAAATTCCCGGCTTAATTGTGAAGAGTGGAAGGGAGGAAGTCACAGATAATATTTTAAAACGTGTTGCATAAAAATATGAATTGTTGTTAACACTGGTAAAAACAAATCACTTATTATAGCCTCATAAATTCAGGCAGCACTTTGCCGGGTGCCCTATAGGAAGAGACGCTTCCCGTGCGGGACCCACAGCCCGGAGGAAACGAGATGCTGAGGAGAAACACCAGAAATGAAACGGGAGGAAGGATGGGGGCAGGAGCAGAAATTAAGGAGGAGAAAGAGGACGCCAGGCAGCGGAGGGCAGGTGGGCTGGCACGGCTACCCCGGGCTGGGGGGGGAAGGAGGATGGAAGAAAATAGTAAGAAATGATACCATGGAAAAGGTTAAGGACTGGAAGTCGTGGGGAAGCCCTGCAAAAACATCTAGAGATTGAAGGGAGCAAGGATCTACACGCAAATAAGTTTAAATAAGATGATTTAACACCCAGGCAGGTACAACCCATCCAGCCTGAGCCACTTGTGGTGCTGGGGTGAGTTGGGGGCACAGCACCCACATCAGCTGCCATCTCAGCCCGGGCTTTTTTCCCCAACCATGAAGACTCAAATCAACCTAATAAAATAATCCAAACAAAACCCAATCCGTAACCATTTCAGAAAGCAAACTGCTCATCTGCACCTCTCACACTGCTGCTGGCAAAGGGCTGGTGGGGTGCACGGGGTAGCTTTGGTGCAGAAGGGGTGTCCCGGTCGGGGGGGGACGACACACTGGGTCTTGGGGGACATGGCTTTGAGCCAAAAGAAACCAAACCTGGGCCTTCTGCCCATCCCAGGGCAGCGATGGGAAGGCAGTGAGTGCTGCCCGGCACCTTCCGAGGACACAGCCCCCAGTCCCAACCCTCTCCCACCCATGGCTGATCGATGCAAACCAGGTCAGGGCTCCGCTGCCAATTACAAATTGCATCCCGAGTCGGGGGGTCACTGCGGCTGCTCCCCCATTAGACGGGAAGCAGCACCAAAGATCTTTTCTAAATAAATCAGACTTTATTGTAAAACTCGGCCACTGACGAGACAGAACCTCATTAGCATTGATTTTAAAATAAATTATTGAAAGTGGCTTTTGCCTGCTCTTTGCATTTGTAAAAGAGAACGTAAATGTATCTGTAACAGCGCTCTGCCCCCACGCACGTGCCCCAAATCCTCCCATCTGGATTCCTTTATACTTCAACCAAGGGCACCCAATGCCCTCATCCCACCCTGGCACCCAACCGAGGGGAGTGAACCCAGCTCCCACGCAGCACAGAAACCCCAGAGCCACCCCCCAAAGTGGGGCAGCATCGTTACCCCCCTGCTGGGGGTCACACCTGCACCCAGGGGCTCCCCACGGCCACCCCCTCCTGCCCCCCGTGCTGTGCACACCCCTCTGGCTCGCATCCTGCTGGGATCACATCCATCCCGGAGCCAGGCTGTCCTCAGGAAACCTCCTCCCAGAGCCTCTCACACCTCCTGGCACACGCACACACACTCACTCACACACACACACTCTCTCCTTGGGAAGCCTCAGCCAGCGCTGGTGCAGGAAAACACGTGCCAGGGAGGAAACGCTGGGTTTCCAGGATGAGCAAAATTGTGGAAAACCCACCCAGGGAGGGGGTTAGCACCACTGGGCCCTGCCTGGACCTGGTGCTTGGCACCGAGTGCCCCGATGATCCTGGGGAGACATCCCTGTCCTGCCTCCTCCCCATTTCCCTGGGAGCTCCCCTCAGATTGCACCGCGGCTCGTGCTGTGACACACTGGCCCTGGGCATGGTCCCCACAGATTCTGAGCTGTGCAATTCATGGAGGGGGCCCGTGGGGACACGAGGAGCCCCTTGGGGATGTGAAGAGCCCTGACTCCCCCCCGCAGCCTCTTGCATCCAGGAGCTTTTCCGAGTCGAGCCTGGGAGCGATGCTCTGCCTTCCCTGGATCTGGGTGTTTGAGCTCAGCCAATCTCTGGATTTTTGTAGTGATGAATCAGAGAGAAATGCTGAAAAACGCATCTCCTGGGGTCACAGAATGGTTTGGGTTAGAAGGGACCTTAAAGCCCCCCCAGTGCCACCCCCTGCCCTGGGCAGGGACACCTCCCACCACACCAGGTTGCTCCAAGCCCCCTCCAACCTGCCCTTGAACCCCTCCAGGGATGGGGCAGCCACAGCTTCTCTGGGCAACTTGGGCCAGGCTCTCACCACCCTCACACCAAAGAATTTCTTCCCCACATCTCAGCTCAATCTCCCCTCTTCCAGTTTTAAATTGTTACCTCGCCTTCCATCCCCTGTGCTGCCTCCCTGTGCAGAGCATCACAACCCTGGCCACACCACCCTCCAGAAAATGCCTTTACATCCCCACGGGCAGCCCCGAGCACCCACATTGGGGGGGTTCAGAGCCACCCAGCCCCAGCCTTGGGCACGGCTTGGGGGGGGGGTTTGGCCGTGCCCCCCACCGCTGCGCCGGAGCAGCCTGGGCGTTGGGCAGATTCTCAGAGGAGCTGTGTTTTAATGTAGCAATTTGATTCAATTTTCCACTCTATAAAATTACCCATCACTGCTCGTTGCTTCCTAACAGACACCTTCACTCTTAATTTAACAATCCTATCGAATTCTGCCAGGGAAATTGGAAAAATTTATCACCTGTGAAATTTTATTTTTCCTTGGTTGTATCTGTTTTTGTAAAACTTCATTAACGACGATGACTTGCTGAGGAAATTATCTCTTCATCTCCCCCCCTTTCTTTTTTTCCCCCCTCTCCCTCTTTCTCTCTCTATTTTCACTCGGGACACGAGGGAGGCAGCCGTGCCCAGAGGAGACCTGGGCTTGGGAGGGACTTTCCCTGCACTTTGCTGGGGGGTCCCAGGGGTGCAATGGGCTGGGGGGGACAAGTTTGGGGCAGAGCAGACATCTCCTACCCATCCCTGAGCCCTGCAACTGGTTTCTCACCACTCACACCAGAGCAGACATCTCCTACCCATCCCTGAGCCCTGGTTTCTCACCACTCATGGGCATCTGCCTCTACATCAAGGTGCCACCACCACCTCCCTTCAACCTGGCAGGGGACGGGGGTCTGCGGGGGGTGAGAAACTTGCTCAGATGGGAGAGCTGTGGCTTTGCTTCCTGCTGGCAGTGCCCTCCATGGTGTCCCAGCCATGTCCCCATGTCGGGGGGGGACAAGTTTGGGGCAGAGCAGACATCTCCTACCCATCCCTGAGCCCTGCAACTGGTTTCTCACCACTCACACGCATCTGCCTCTACATCAAGGTGCCACCACCACCTCCCTTCAACCTGGCAGGGGACGGGGGTCTGCGGGGGGTGAGAAACTTGCTCAGATGGGAGAGCTGTGGCTTTGCTTCCTGCTGGCAGTGCCCTCCATGGTGTCCCAGCCATGTCCCCATGTGTGGGTGCCACTCTGGCCATGGGCAGGGTGATGGCCAGAGAACAGAGGTGATGTGGGCAGAGGCAGCTGCCCCACAGCTCCCACCTGCCCCTGGGCTTGGCCAAACCCCGGGGACAGCAGCCCCTGGGGTGTCCCTGCACCAGGACCAAAGGACATTGCAAAAGCCCAGCTAAATCAAGGGGCTTCTACCCTGCCCCTTGCAGGGCTTGGGCTGGGCACAACCCCTCGGGCTGCCTCAGGAACCTCGTAGCAAGCTTTTAAGAAGAGGTTGGACAGGACAGAGAGCCCAGTAAAAACCTGTAATTAAAGGAAAGGTCTGGCTGGGATGTTTCCTTCTCCACCACGATGCTCTGCAGCTCCAGCATCAAGGCACCAATCTGTGGGAGCAGGAGAGCAATGTCCATGGGGACCAAGGGTGAACCTGGAGAGCAGGGTTGGCTCCAGCTCCTTGGGGACACTCTGAATCCCGGCGTGGGGACAGCAGAGGGGTCTGTCCTTAAATCAACACTGTCCAGGCTCCCAGCAGGACGACCATTAGCCACGTGTGGAGCAAACCTCACGTCTAATCTCTGCTCTGCAGCCGGCATTGGCAGCCCCAAGGCAGCGAGGAGCCGGACCCAGCTGCCGAAGCAGCCAGGGAGGTGAAAAGCCCTTCTCCTGACAGACCATCAGCTCTTCCCACAGCCCTGACCCCCCCGAGGAGGCTCCTGATGAGCTCAGGGATCCACGTGGGAACGCCCAGGGGAAGTGGAAGCTGCTGCCCAAAAGAGCGGAGGATGTAAACAGAGGAAGAGGAGAGATGGAGAGAGGCTGAAGGGTTGCACAGGCAGCCCCGGAGCCCCAGCCCCGCTCCCGGCTGCTGTCTGATGCCGCTCGCACACCGCTGAGCTGAGGTTTCCTTCGGCAGCAATAACAAGACAAAGATCTCGGGCATCATAAAACTTTCTGGTACATTTAACTTTTTTTTTGGTTTTTTAAAACTTTCTGGTACATTTAACTTTTTTTTAGGTTTTTTTTTTCCTTCTTTCTTTTTTTTTTTAATCACTATAAAGTTCTGAAATAAATAATAAGATTTTTTTCCTTCTCCTTTTTTTTTTTTTTTTAATCACTATAAATATAAAGTTCTGAAATAAATAATAAGGAACAAGGAGCTATTTTGCATCATCTCTGAATGCAGCCACCGAGGGAGCCTGCTCTTGGGGACAGGGAGCAGCGCTGGGAGGTCCCAACCTCACAACAGCACACGGGTGGGAAACAGGCTCAGGTGACCCGTTGCCCAAGCCCTGAGGCATGTCACACCGAGATTTCTGCTATAATGGTAAGAAACCTTGCAGAGCATGTCACCCTCCCAGGCTGTTTGGTTCCGTGCCAGGGAGATTGCTCCTGGCTCCTTTAACCGGCAGCCGCTACCTCCAGACCTCATCCACTGTCAGCAAACAAGCGCTGGTCTTTAATGCAGTTATTTTATCATCTCTTGGAAGGCCAGTAATTGTGTTACAGCCATGACTGCATGCCCAGAAGGGAGCATTTTCATCATCTGAAGTCTGATTTTCCAGGTAACACAGCCCAGAGATTCCACTCCCCAGACTTAATATTAGCCGAGCTGAACGGAGCACAACCTCTAAAAGCTGCCTCACCTGAATTTACAATCCCTCTGCCTCACCAGAACACAAAGGATTTGTTCTTGTGGTCCATCAACAGGCTGAACAAAGAAATGGGGTCAAACCTTTCAGTTATGGGTCCATTAAACTTGGCAGAGTCCTAGATGTTCACTCCCATCAACAGGTTGGGTGGCCAAGGTCTCCTGCCATGTTTGCGGGGCTTCAGCTAAGGGATGGCTCGGGTTCTGGTTGCTCACCTGGCAAAACCTCGTAGATGTCATCCTCTTCCATCTCAACATTGGGCTCCTCCTGATTCAGGGTGGTATTGTGGGATGTCGTGTTCACAGAGTCAGAACTGTCCACGTCATTGTAGAGCTCTTCGTCGTCCTCTTCATCAACTGGGATCGTGAGGGAGCTCATGTCTGGAAGAAGAGAGCAAAAGAGTGGTGAGATAGAGCAAACCACTCGCTTTCAGTGAGTTGAAATCAAGTAATTAAGCCTGTGCCACTGTACTTTGTGCTCGCTATGGACCTTGTGAGGAATGAGCTGTCCTCTTGCTTGATCCATGAGCACGTGGTGTAAAGAAAATGGGATGGAAGCTGAGAATAAGCTAAAACAAAGGAAAAGCCCAAGAAAGGATGGCCAGAAAACAAAGCCAAACTCAACAAGTGCCTCAAGGAACTGAGACTGACCCCATTCCTGGGCAGCTGCCCACGGTTCCCAGAGGGTTTCCACACACAGGGGTGGAGTCTAGTCTCAGTATTGATGGTCTCAAACTGGAGCAACTCCAGTGGAGCCAAACCCCATCCTTTGTCAGCCAAGGACAGAACAGCAGTGAGAAGCCATTCCCACTCATTTCTTGTCCCACTTGGTGACACTTGCAGCCTTTGAGACATCACACAACTCTATCCTCTAAAAGCAGCCCAAAGTGCTGGAGTTGGAACCAAATGCCCGTGGACTCCAACCAACCACTTCTTTTTAACCACCTACGTGAAAGAACAAAGCCCCAGAACCTCTCTTTTTGCTAAGAGGGGGTGGTGGGACCCCAGGAAGGTCCTGGTGATGAGCACAAACCCACCCGTTGCTGGAGGGAGCAGCCCAAGCTGGATGGGAAGATGCTGCCAGGATCTGCCCGAACAAGCTGGCTTGGGTCAAGCTGCCAAACTCACCCTTCAGGAGGAACTGGATCTGATCCACCCAATCTTCAGCATCTGCTGGGCTCGGGGCTGTGAACTGGAGAGAGGTTCACCTGTTACTGTGTGGTTCTTGTATGGAGGAAGAGGAAAAAGACTTGCAGCTAGAACAGGGGATGGAGATCCTGGATCTGCCATTCTCCACCCCGTGGCTTTGGGAAAACCATTTCACGTCTTCATCTCCCCATTCCAAACAGGGAAACAGAAGCGGAACAAAGCTAGACTGTCCCAGAGGAAGGCTGTCAAGCCTAATTCATTAAAATAATTCAGATGAAAACCACAATCCCCGCTGAATATACTACACTGACTCTGAACCAGGACTCTACATCCAAAGTCTCCCTGAAGCTCAGGAAGGCTCTCGTGCACCCTTTGTAGATTGGGCCAGGTTTATCATCACACCAATTTTTAGGCCCCCACTGGATGCTCAACACATTGAAGGTTTAAATTTAACTTGGCTCTGAATTCCTTATTTAAAACCAGGCTTTCCACACCCAGTCCTCTACTGCTTCCACCCAACGTTCTCACTTAACCCTTGTGCCCCACAAGTGCAAAGAGAGCTTGGGATCACCCTTGTGCCACGGGAAGGTCCATGTTGAGGTGGCCTGCCAAGATGGAGAAGCACCAACACCTTCTGCAGCTCAGTCTGTTTTACGAGGGGGGGCTGGAGATTCACAGCCTCCCTGACCCCACAGGTCCAGCCTGCACCCCACACCTGGGACCGGGTGCTCAAACTGGTAAAGAAGGTCCATCCATTGCTCCCCCCAGTTCCTACCTCATAGGTGCGTTTGCCAGGGCAGATTAACTCAAAACAGCATTTCTTTCGAGAGTCTTTGCGCAGGTGGGAAGCCAGCCGGGCACTGTAGTTCTCGATGGAGAAGTTGCCTTTAGGTTGCTTGCCTGGAAGAAGAGAAACTTGCTAAATCTGGAATTTGTATCCTTTTCTCAAGCCCGCAGTGCTGCTGGGTGGTGCAAAGGTCTGGAAACCGAGGTACACCACGTGTCAATGGGAAACGAGCAGAAAGAAACCCCCTTTAGTCTAAGCACGTCCACCCCCAGGAAATCCAAAGGGAATATTACAAAATCTTCATAAAGACACAGTAAAGAGGATGCCCTTTTAAGCCTCTAGAGATTGTGAGCAACCAGCGAGAGGTTGCCAGGGTCAGGAGGTTGCGTGAGATGAGCTGGTTGTAATGAAGCAGAGACCACTGTGGACTTGGGGAAATATGATGCCAATGATTATTCTGCTGGTAAGGCATTAACGGGCCGGCACAGGAAGAAACGTTTAGTGGGGCCCCTGAGAATTGGCCTATGGCTCTCGCCGATGCACACAGCGGTTGGTGTCAGCCAGGGTGGAGAGAGGGACCTTCACCGCAGTCATCTGAGCGTCCTTATGTACCCCAGCTCATTATTTCCTTATGAATCTTCTTGGGGAAGCGGGGGAGTAGGATCCAGGCACTTACACTGAACATTTTTATTTTTTAATTTTTTTTTTTTTTTTGATTTGCAGGTCGTCAAGAAACTTCCAGGGATGAGGTCAAGCCCTGAATAAGGGTTTCAGCCCATGGAGAACGGGTCTGCTTTACTCTGTTGTCTTCTGGAGACCGTTTAGAAGCTGACATCTGCTCGACCCTCACAAAACCAACTGAGTATCAACCCTTGGCTTCAACACCTCCCTGTGCCAGCAGCTCACAGCCCTGCATGTACCCTGCCAGGGCGAGAGGAGTTGGGAAGCTGGTTTGGTAACAAAAGGTGCTCGAGATCCTCAGACAAAGGATGTGGAAGAAGGATGAAGACCCAGCTTCATCCCTGCGACCCACTGGAGTTTAATCCTGTCCGAGCTGCAAACTGGTCACTGCAAACCAAGGATGTCCATGTGTTTTTTGTAAGCTGTTGTCGTGCCGTGTTTCTGGATGGGTGGAAGAGGGTAAGGCCATATATCTAATCGTGCCAAACTGTTGGAGATATTAGCTGTCTGTTTATATGTACCTGATGGAGCGTGACGGCAAAATATTTATATACACTGACACACGGATTATATACAGTCACTTAGGGGGCTGGAGGCCAGCTGATGGCTAATGGGAAACGTGGTACATCATTTTATTTACACCCAGCTCTGTTCCTGCGTCTCTCTTCTCTTGTTTCATATTGATAAAGGTGTTTGGGGAGAAGGAAAAAAGAAAATAAAAAGGAAAAGCAAGCAGAGATCTACCCTTCTAGATGCTGTATGTTATACCTTGGTAGGGAATGACAATCTTCCCAGGGTATAGGCTTTTCTCGTGTCAGCTCTTAGCTGTCTGTCAGGCAGGGCTCTCCCCTTCCCTTTTCCATCCTGTCGGTGCCCTCAGCCACCACCCACAGTTTGGGGACCCCAGGGAGGTATCTCACCACTCACTTTTCTCATTGGCGTAGTAGTAAAAGGTCTTTCTGTTGAGGACACACCATCGCTTCTGCCACTCTGAGGCAAAAAAGCTGTGCTCTAGAAAGAAAAGGACAGCAAAAGAGTGAAAAACCCCCTAATTTCTGTTCTTTCACTGTATGCTTCAGGGGAGTATTTAGGGGAAAGAAGATATTTTTCCCCAACAAAACCCTGCAGATTTCTGGCACAAAATTCCAGCAAGCAAATATAGATAGAAAGCTCAACCAAGTAAAGGAGAACCAGCCTGTCCTGCCAAGACTGGAGCCCCTGAAAGCCTCCCCCAGCCTGGGCTGGGCTGCTGTGACCCTTAATCCTGCTAACTGGGAGTGAACACAGCTTTGGGTTAAACCTCCCTAATTGGGGTTTAAGCAAATGTTTTTTTCTCTGTAATTGGAGCAAGCTAAAACATGCACAGGGGCAGTTATACAGCTCAGTTGATGTCCACGAGGAAAAAAGGGCTGTTCTTGCCTCATACCACCTGTCATACAGTAAATAAATCAAGATAAAATCTGAGTGATGAGGAAATAATTTGTAGCTTTCACAAGAGTCAGTAAAATCAAGATAAACCTGAGGCTGACTCACAGTCCTTATCTCAACTTGCTAATGTGTGTGATGCTACGGACTACCTTGTCTTCACCAGGGTTTTATCCTCATTAGGTATTGCTCGTTAGAAGGGCACATCTTGCCTTAGAGGACTGGGCTGCTGCTTAATTCAATTTCTGGGTTTTAATCTTTGTGCAGTTTGATGATCTGCAAAAGAAAATAAATAAAGGCTGTGCCCTCCCTCTGTGTGTGTGTTTGATGCCTGAGAAAAGCCTGAAAGATTCTGCATGTGCCTACAGACAGGTCTGCAGAAAAGATGTATTTTCCTGCTTGTTCTTCACCTGAGAACTTCCATTCTTGGTAATTTTGAGGTGACGTCCCCAAACCTTATGATGTACTTGTCAGGCCTTACCTCGGGACCTCTTCTCCAGATATCCTTGCTTCAAAATGTTCCCCGTGTCTTGAACAGGCCTCGGTGTGATTTCCTCCAACCCTACAGAACAAAGCAAACCAAAGCCTTGGGATTTCCCCTGCGCACACAACCCCTCGGCACAACCTTTTTGGCCCCTTTTTCGGCAGAGGAGGCTCAGGAAGGCAGAGCAGAGGCTGGAAGAGAAAATCATGGTCTACCACGATCTCACCAGCCATTCCCAATCCTGGTTGCAGGCACCCAGAAATCCTCAAGGAAACCAGGGCCATGATTCACATGGTGGCAGAGACCCGTCCTCGGTGGGGTGAGGCTGGTGCTGCTCTGGGGGCAGATCTCAGCCCTTTTTTCCCCCACCAAGCCCAGGGTCTCTGGGTTCCTGGGAGCCTTTGGCAGCAGCCAGGATCTGGTCAGGTTTAGGGACTTGGAAAACACGATCCCCTTGTCCAACATCTGGTCTAACTCGGGCCGTGGCACCTCACCTGGGCTGCTGGCCGGACCCTGTGGCCACCAAGGGGCTCTGGCACACACTGCACGAGGTGCTGGCCACATCACATCCCCAAAATCAGGGGGGCCATGACATCCCCAAGCCATGGCTTGCTGCTGAGAATGTCTCCCCCTCCTCTCCTGCTCATCTCCTGCAATCATAACTTGTACTAAGCAGGATAAAAAATGACTAACTAAATGCCACTAATCACCTCCCCAGTGCCCAGCCTTGGCAGCCTTTCCAGTGTGAATAACTTCGCAGAATCCCAGGCCACAAGAGCTGCTCTTGTTTTCTTAGTGTGTCTCGGAAACACCCAGCGCTCGGCCCAATCCATCCCCCCGTCACCTCCCTCAATCACGGCCTATTTTTGTGTTTTAGAGTTGGCAAACTCCAGGCTCGCTATAAATCCTCCGCAAATGGGTCTCGGGGCGAACACGAAGACACACAAGGTTTGGGTTGGTGGAAAGGCTCCCCCACGTCTGTCTCCTCTGTCGGCTGGAAACCGGAGCCTTCAAAGACCAAATCTTTGGCTTGTGTGAAGCTGCCCCAGAGGGTTCAGATCAGGGGAAGCCCAGGAGGCTGCAGGATTGTCCCTCTGCAACCCCTGGAGGACACGGGCAGCCCCTTCCCACACAGAGAAATCTCATTTCTCTCCAGCACCTGCCTGGCACAAACATGCTCAGGTTTTTCCCCAGCAACGCCGAGCATCTGACTCGTAAAAAGGCACATCATCTTCTCAAATCCAAGCCCCGACCTCTTTCGCTTATGCAAATCTAAATGTCATTTTATGGGACATTTATAATTATGAAAATGGGACGGTGCTGCCGGACGCACGGGGAGACTCTGCGAGTATGAATATTACATTAATGTGCCCAACGCCAGCTCGCTGATCCCGCTGGCAGGAGCATAAAAAATGCTTGAGTGAAACTTTTATTTAGACGTTAAGAATCCAGGCCCCAGCGGGGTGACGGAGGCAGCCCCGGCGAGATCCCATCAGCGCGAGCGCTCGAATTGAATTACCCAGGGGGGAAGGCAGGAGCTGCGAGTGCTGCTTCGCTTATTTAATTTCATTTACTTTCAGTACATTATCAGCATGGGGCTTCCCTCTGCCCCCGTTCCCCCAAGAAAACCGGCTGTGGAAATCGCCGACGTGCCGGATGCTGCCGGGGCTTGAGCCGAGGCAGGGATGTGTCCAACCATCCTGGTCCTCGGGATGCTCTTTTTGCTCTTTCCTCGGTTGCCAAGAGAGATTTGGGGGATACAGGGACCTCTCAGACACACAAAGAGCAGCCAAAGCGGGGAAGCAGCACGGACGCAACAGGAACCAACAACAACCTCTTCCAGCCCCGCATCTTCTCTCTCTGCCCATCATTTTTTGGGGGCTTGCCTGAAAGCAGGACCCCTGGGAGGGCGATCACCTTCTCAGGTGCGCTCTGCCCTGTTTGAGATCCATTTTCCACGTAAGCAGATCCCATATTTCAGGTTATTTGTAGCCCTAGATCCTGGGATCTGCCAGGTTGGCAGCTCCCCGGGCCGGGCATCGCCTCCAAAACACCATCAAGGAGAGCCCAAACCTCTCGGATTTGGAGAGACAGAGAGACACCGTGCCTCAGTTTCCCAGCAGGAAAATCAGAGTGAAAGGAGACTCCCTCCTTTTTAAATCCTCGGTGGCTGCTCAGACACACTAATACAATTAAGGAGTGGTTGCGAGGGCTGATTTGATTGCACGGGGCTCTGGAAATTTTAAGTTTTACAGAGTATGACATGGAGACGAGGGCTGTAACCTGTGTGTTACACGCAGCCTCTCTAATGCAGCCCTGCTAATGCAGAGCCAGGGAGATTAAATCTGTGTGAGGTGGGTGAGCGCAGGGGACGCGGCGCTGGGGGCTCTGCCTGGCTGCCCACGGGGCTGGGGCTACGTGGGGTGTCCCTGTCCCTCTCCATGTCCCCAGCCTGCCCCTAACGACAATCCAGATGGCTTTTGCTGGCAGCAAATAGCTAAATGAACCTGCAAAGCCAGTCCCTGGGTTGTTTTTTAAATTTCTTTAAACCATCTTAATGGACACCAAGAAGATGCAGAGAGGTTAGGTGGGAGCCCAGCCCCAAAGGAAGCTCTCTGGTCCCTAAGGGCAGAGGGTTTATGGTCCCGTTAGATGCCTCTGCCCCAGGACCACACAACTGGCAGGTAAACCACAGCTCACCACATCTTCTGGGACTCCAAGGGATGGAAAAGCCAACCCTGGTTGCCTGGTCATCTGTTCCAACCACTAACGGCCGTTCACCATTTATAAAAACAGAGAAAGAAAAGGCCTTAAATTCATCTGAGAGAGGCACATCTGGGCTCCCCCAAGCCCAGCCCTTCTCCAGTCGCTCCCAGCACGGCACGGCAGGGCTGAGGCTGGTTTTGGATGGTCTCGGTGGTCCCTCCCACCCTGGCATCTCCCCCAGCCCAGCAGATGGCTGGCACTGGCAGCGCTGCCCAGTGCCACCAGCATCCCAACCCCTGGTGGCCTCTCCTCCATCCTCCCCCCTCTCAAGCCTGGCTCCCGAGGGAGCTGCTCCCTCCCCTGGGGATTTTCCCACAGATGAATTTCCCCATCCATGGGACACGTCGCTCCATCTGGAGCCTCCCACAGAAGGGCGAGTAGCTCTGTGCTGTAACCCTGGAGACCACTTCTCTGCAGAGGCTACAAAGTGTTTCAGGAGTGGGAGAAATGTGGGGCCAGAGGCCCACCCCCACGGGTGCAGGAGCAGGCACCAGCTAATTCCCTTCCCCTCCTTATGGCACCCCAACCTTTACTGTGATTTGCATCCCCTGGGTGCTCTGAGGGATGCTCTCAGCCCCAGAGGTGCCACTCCTACACCAGGCTGGCACAGGGGTGGACCCACGTCACTCCCGAGCCTCTGGCTTAATTGACCAAGCGGCATCTTTTGGGCAAAACTTCTAGGAGTTTGGCTGCCGAGCGCCGTGACGGTTCCAATCCCGTCCTCGCCATGTCCTCAAGGACCTCTGGATTTCTGCTCTCGCCCCTTTGGTCTCTGAGTCATGCACACCAGCTGCACAAAATGTCACAGTAGCTGCAGCCAAACACGCCCGGGGGCCACCTCGGTGCCCACGCTGTCACATCAACCCACTGTTCAAAGGGATGGAGCACGGAGGCACGACGGTTCCAGCTAATTCCCCTTCCTCCAGCTTATTCACCAGGCTCAAATGTGCCAAGAGCAGATTCTGCTCCCGGGGACTTCGCAGGGAACACCCAAACCCACTTCAAACCAGAGCACAATTGGCTGTGATTTCCCCAAGCCCTCCGTGGTGGCTGCGCTCTTTTTTTCCATTGAAGCTAATGAGAAGAAAAACAATCAGAAAGAGACAAACAACCCCTCCCGCCGCCTTCAAAGCGAGACAGACTTGGGAAAGGCTGAAAGCTTTTGGAAATCTCGCCCACCACCAAGGTCTGCCACAGCCAAGGGGTCCAGGACGTGGCTGCTGGGGCTGATGGCACTGGTGGCCACTGCTGAGTGGCATTTGTGGGTCTCTTCAAACACAAGCTCCGTATGGGCAAAACCAAGGAGCGTTTTGTAAGCCACGCTTCTTTCGGTCTCTGATGGAAGAATAATGCTCCACAGACTCACAGAATGGTGGGGGATGGAAGGGACCTCTGGAGATCATCAAGTCCAACCTCCTGCCAGAGCAGGGTCACCCAGAGCAGTTGGACAGCAACCCATCCTGGTGCGTTTTGAACATCCCCAGAGAAGGAGACCCCACCACCTCTCTGGGCAGCCTGTTCCAGGGCTCTGCCACCCTCACAGGAAAGAGGTTTTTCCTCATGTTGAGACGGAATTTCCCATGTTCCAGCTTATGCCCGTTGCCCCTTGTCCTGTTTCTGGGAACCACCGAGAAGAATCTGGCCCCATCCTCTTGCCACCTGCCCTTTAGATATAGACAAGCACTGATGAGATCACCATTAAACCTGTATTTAAACCGTTACCTTTTTCCAAGATCAAGAAGATCCTGAAAGCATCTTTGCTTTCTCACATCAGGATCCACATGGGTACAGATTTCCCCCCAAACCCTCTTCCCTTAATCAAAGTTACTGGCCAGACCTACCCCCACAGCACAATCCCCTGTGGGAGGACGGGAGCGAGGTGGCCCCGTGGCTCCAGGGTCCGGCTGGTGGAGGCTGGATACACCAGTCACTGCTGGGCAGGACCTCTGCAGTGCCATGCAGGTCCTGTAGGCCCATTAAGCAGCCAGCAACAGGCATGGAATTATGTCCCAACCAGATGGAGTGATGTCCTGACCAAAGGGAGCAGGAGGAGAAAAGCCACCATGGGAAACGAGCCGCCATCCATCAGATTGGTCCCCCTGGTCCCTGCCTCCTCATCCCCCTGGCTCCAGGTCCCAGCCCATCTCCTCGGAGGCTCCCAGCCCCTCGGACACGGTTCTCTCCACACCTGGGGAACATCACTGAACCTTTCAGCGCCTTGGAAACAGCCAGGGATCATTTATAACGACGGGAACAAAATGAGCAACTATTTCAAAGAAAATGGGGAACTAAACAATTGTCAACATGGATCA